GCATTCCCCCGGACGACCTGGAGGAAGTGTCTGGAGAGAGGGAAGTCTGGGCATCTTTGCTTAGACTGCTGCCCCCGCGACCCGGTCCCGGATAAGCGGAGGAAAATGGATGGATGGATGGATGGATGGAGCTTACCTCCACCAGGTAAGATGTCATTGTCGTTAAGATGCACCTTGTATCCATTTTTCTTTTCCAGATGAGGTTTGAGAATAAACTTGACAAACTTCCTGTCATAGTCATTGCTCACATAAGATATGTAGGCGTCGTATAATTTCCCATCTGAAAGCACAGAGACACAAACATAGCAGTAATTCTAATATAACATTCTTTATCTATTTTTCATCTTCATTTTTACTTTTACCTCTCTCCTTTCTTACTTTTTTGGCTTTACATATATGTTTGTGTGCAGAGAACAGTGAATTAAATAGTGCTATAATATTATGATGTGAATGTTCTCTAACGCTATTGGTTCGGTGAGAACATTGACCCAGTGACTGATATGTAATGATTTTTTGGATTTCCAGTTTAGTGGGATTTCTTGGCAATAGCTACAGAAATAAGGGGTGGGTTTCTATATTTAATTGAGAGACTGTCAACTTCTATGATATTACAGAGCAAACAGGTAATACAGGATTCTTCCACATTTATACCTACGGTATGTTACATCACTTCGACATCGATCTCACCATTGAGTTCGTACTCTCCGTAAGAATTCTTGTACCACAGTTTGATGTTGAGTTGACACCTGGAGTACACGACAGCAGCTATAGCCAGGAAGAGGAGGAGTATAATGGCTGCAATAACAGCAGCTGTGTGGCTGGGGCTGTCTGCACACACACAGAAACAATCAAAAAATAAGCTGAAAATAATCAGACAACGCTTTAGTTGAAACTATGATTGTCATAAAGTTCAAACACGTTTTCAAAGGTACTTTTTTTGACAAATTCGCACAAAATGCAAGACAGAAAATCAAAGACCTACATGGACTCATAAATTCTCTTACTTGAGTTCTGTAAGTGGAAATCAGATGAAATATTCCTCACTGTGCAGCTGTAGAGCCCATAGTCTTCCAGGTCCCTGATGGTGATCACCAACCAACTGTTTATCATCAGCTGACCAACAGCAGGAGACCTGATAAACGGGACAGAAAACTAGAGCCTACCTTCACTCTCAAACACTTTAACTGAAGCAGGAACATAATAAACAGTGGAAATCTACTGTTTAAAAGGCTCCAAATCACCATGAGGAGGTATTCTGCATGTAAAGTGTGAGGTTTGTAAGAGGCTGGCCATCTTTACTCCACTGCAGTGCAGTATCACAGTGCTCCTCGTGAGGGTCCCAGAAGAGGAGAGCAGAGCAGTTCATTTCCACTGTGGATCCGACACTTCTCCACATTTCAGTCAGGCCTCCATTAGATTTGAATTCTGGAGCTTTGGAGCATTGCGGCTCTGTAAAAAGACATACCACTGTTATCTGTGTTCACTGCAAGAGCTGCAGACAACAGAGACATTCCTTTGCACTGCCAGGTAAAGCTGCCGGAAGGCCTGCTGTAACTAAATGCCTGCTTGCAGGTGTAGCCAATCTGTTGAACTAGCCCCTTCACTCCCAACACAAAGTTTACTGTGGGGATGAATAGGAGTCTGCAGCAAGAGCAAAACAATCACAGTATCAGGTTTTAAGTGACTTCATTACACTTGTACATGGAACTAATACATACCCTTAACTATGAGATGCACAGTGAATGAGATGGTGCTGTTCCCCTGTTGCATACAGGTGTAATTCCCTTGGTCTTTCAAGCTGAGGTTGGTGAACTCCAGGTAGGCCTTTCCCTCCTGACTGTGGAGCTGCTGACAGTCCTTCTGCCAGGACAGGTGGATTTGTGGGGCGTTCTGGGACTGAACAGACTCTAGAGGGCAGTTGAGCCGATATGGAGGCCCCTGTTGTCCCACAAGAATCACCTGTTCCTGAAACCTGCTCTCATCCACACAAGTCTGAGCTACACAGAGACACACGGAGTTTACACAGTCTTCTTTACTTTAGGAATATAATCTGACAACACTCAGTACTGACCCCAAAATATGGATCAGTAAGTGCAGTGCCTAGGTCAGTGCAGCTCTACAGTACTTTATGTTGTGGGATACAATACATACAGTAAGCAAATTACTAGAAATGACTGCTTACTTGAGAAAACACTTTGCATACAGTCTGTGGACTTAAATGGTTTGCATACACTCTGTGGAGCTTTAGTGTGTAGCCATGGACAGAGTGTCTGCTGGTACCTGAAAGTGAGCCTGTTTACTCTTTGACCCTGTCAGACTATGAGTAAATTGGTGTTTTGCAGACTTTGGAAAAAAAACGTCTGTGTTTGAGGACATAGTTAACTGATCCCCTGTCAAAACGGAATCTAAATCGCTCAAGCTAATTTATGAGAAGTAGCCATTTATCTGGACCTGTTCCTCAAAATATTGTGCGCTTGCGCTCCTCGTGACTATGTCATCAAAACACACAATAACTTGCACAACTGCACTCCCTGGTTCCTCTCTAACTTCACCATTGCTTTTTTTAACAGTTTCTCAAACACAGAGACACACATCCGGGTCCAAAGTCCGGGTTTATCTCTCATGTTGCCAGGAAACTGCATGTGACTGCGCGACAGGTACTATGATCCTGACATTTACGCATCCAGAATCCCGCAAATCTGATTGCGACAAATAGTTAACAATAGTTTACAATGTCAAACATAATAAACTGAATTCTACCACTATGATTACATTAAAGGGTTTTAAAGGTAGCGCCCTCACTAAACTGTAAATCCTATTTGAGTAAATAAAGTTTCATTTTGTACACTCTTACCAGCCGCGAGGAAAGTCTTGTTCAATGAGCCCGCGCACACCAGGAGGAAAGCGATTAAAATCACAACCATGTTTTCTCTCCTCGGGTGAGAAATGATCCAAGAGTAGATGGTGGTCAATTTACTTCACAATGTGTAAGTTTATTACAATTTAGTTACATCGTGCAGCGCCGTAGATGTAACTAGTCAGACGTCAGCCTTCGCGTTGATCAACAGCACCTGGGAAGAACTCTCTTGGCTATTGGCTCCCCGTGATCACGTGACACATACACCTGCGTTGCATGAAAAACTCAAAATAGATCAAGTGCGGCTGTAATGTATCTGAAGTAAAGACTTTATCAGCTTATTTCACTGCACCTTCCACACTTTCTTCAGACAAACAGGCCTATGGTTACTGAGGATTTTATAAATACTGAGGTCAGGAGTCCAGAAAAGCCAGTTGGTAAAGGGTTTATTGAAGTGGTTGCCTATTTTATAAATCATTTCATAATTCTTTATATATCAGTTATAGCTGCAATCATTAATAAGAACAACAGTTGGGTTGTCAGGTTGTCAAAAATCCTACTGCGTTTATAATTTCTATTTGGTAGTAAAGTAGTGGAGTGCTGGCAGTCTACCGATAGTATTGATGAGTTTCTCAAGTTCTAATAACCAATCAATATGACAGATCTAAATGTTAATGTGACATTAATAAAGGGTTTTAATCATCCAGTCTGCAGGTGTTTGTGTTACAAAGCTGTTAATAAATGATTTTTTTTTTTTTCCAGACAGTAATCCGCTGGTTTTCAGAAAATAAGTCAAACAGTTGAACCAGCTAAAGGGATTTTTCACAACCTGGCAAACCAAAAAGTCCCTATTTTAATGGTGATAACTTATCTATAAAGCATAGTAAACCTTTTACAGTATTTACATTTCACATGACCACATTAGTTACAATTTACAACTCCTTTATAAAGGGTGCTGTGTTGTTGAGTAGTACAGGTTCAACTCTATTTTCTTTCATTTTTTGTCTTTTCCACATGGCCAGGAGTACATTTCTGGGGGACAAAATTTCATCATGATATTTTGTGCATAAGAAATAGAGACTAAGAATACTATAATCAGCCTTTGAAGCACACCATGTGCAATTTCTATGCAATTATATAAAATAAAATGACAAAAGTGGCATAAATGTACAGTAGCTATTACTGAAACACTGCACCTAGACATAAAAGCATGTGGCTCCAGTACAAATCTCTTTAATTGGTGATTTAGTAAATTCAGTGTTAATTATGAGACACTTTTATCTGACAACCTTGAATTGAAAAGGCATTTAACTAGGACAAATGTTTCCTCTTTTATTCATTAATATAAAATATTATAACACAAAACATTCTTGCATCTGATTTACAAAAAACACCTGACATCAGTTTCTATCTGCAATAATGCAACAACCATCACAGCGCATTTTACAATATAAGGCAACATCGTAACACACAACTGGTACTCTATTTGCAGCAGCAGTATAAATTATCTGTAGGTTTTCAATAAAAACACTTGCATACAACTCACAAATATAAAGATCCAACAGAAAGCCGTCAGTGCATTCTTAAAATAGAATAAGAATAATTTCATGAAGGACCTGGTCAGTAAAATCAATTTCTGTACACTTGTTTTGTCAAAAAAAAAGAGGCTGTCTTCATTTCATGGATAAAAATCCGGATAGCCAGTTCTTAACATTTGACTGTAAACAATAAAAGAAAGTGAGAGCCACCTGTCTGAACTCTTCACACAGAGATGACTAATGACTTTGAGTCAGCACTGTTAGTCTGGACACTTTAATGCACAAGGCAACACTGGGTTCAAATGTGTCCCGGTTAAAAGTCTGAATGCTGTCACGCTTCAAATGACCTGTAAGAAATAAAAGCAAGGATTGGTTAGTTACAACATCTGGGAAACAAAGAGCGGTGAAGAAGTCTGTGAATCTCATTCCTCTGGCAGGTTTTCTGATGCTTTGAGGGCTAGGAGACTTTTAGTAGGGAAGACAAGAAAACCGGAGATGTCAGTCAAGCAAACACATCTGTCAAGTCCAAAATATGACAAAGGCTATCTTCCACTAAAGTCCAGTGTCACTGTGTGTGAAACTGTGCCAGTTTGAAGAAGGTTTATAATTGGCATTCTTATTTTGCACAGCATAAACAAATGAGAAATGTGCAAATGAAATATGCAGCTCATAGTCAGTCTAGGGATGCACCAATATCACAGCTCGTTGTATGTACTCAGTGGGATCATTTTAATGTAAGTCAGTGTAAGCGACTGTGACTGGATGAATGTTACCATAAGCTGAAACACAGCATATCAGGTGGATGAATCTGTATCTGTGCAGTAGTTTTTGTTTTTAAAATATTTAGACAAAATCACAAGAGGCACATGTGATGCGTGATATAACAGTTTGAAAATATTAATTTGGCAATCACACCAGTGTAACCATGTGAAACTCACCTGAGTTCCTCTTTTAGTCTGTTAAGTTTATCAAACAGACTGTCATTTTTCACCTGCATGGGAGCGCTGGGTACAAACCAGGCTGCAATGAATTTGAATATGACGACAACATGCTGTAAGCAGAGAGGAAGATGTGAGGCACATGAATTCTCTGTGACAATATGGTGGCATCAAAGACTGTTATAGACCAGCTCACTGACATTTTAAAGCTCAAAGCTGGGAAGATACTGTGGGGTTTTGGGAGTTGTATAGGTTACTGTAACAATTGCTCAAAGAAATGACTGTGAGAATGTGCTCTGTTGCTTTGTCAAGGTGCCACATGGCTTACCTCAAAGAGGATGACAAATGCAAAGCGGACAGCTAAAATTAGCCAGAACTGTGGGGTAAGACTGTAGTCCTCACTGCTCCTGTAGTCTTTATAGCTGCACAGAGGAACAAACCAGAAAACCGATGTTATGTTTCTTATCAATTGATTTTTTTTTAAAGATATTAACATGTAATAGATGATTGCAGGGACCAGCTGTAGAAATGTCCATCCACTTCTAGGAAAAATGTACAGTACTCTTATAACCAGAGATTACACAGTCCTTACAGAAACAGTAATACTGTGAGGATAATGACAGACATCTGAGCGTACTGTGAATACTCAGCAGCTAACACCCAGCTAACACTGGGGCTGAGCAGAATCACTGCTTTCAGCACTGCTGTTAGTCATAAATTACATGTTTTGACTTTGGTTTCTTGTAACCTAAATGTCAGAATCATGCCATCACTTTTCAGCTGTAAAAGACGAATATGACTTAAAACTGAACAAACCTGCAGTAAGAGACATTCAAGCCATTAGGAAGCTGATTAGTTGAAAATGCGTTGTGTATGTTCTGATCATCTATCCTTGCAGTGGAGAGAGTGTTGTTGATGTAGCCAACCATGCAGCTTGAAGAAAAAAAAAAGAATTTATTTAGAAGGAGTGTTGCAGGCAACATGGGAAAACAGAGATATTATCTAAAGAGCTGCACGTTCTCACTCAATATCTGTGACTGTGCCATTAGCACATGGGCCATAGTGGTAACGGTACAGCAGTCGAGGAATGAAGTCCGAGGATACACCAATGACCAGCCCGTTTGCAATAACAGCTAAGACACCAATAGCCTCCAGCACATCTGTCCACACCCCTGAAGAAATGCAACATTGATATGAAGAGTAAACATGCACACAAGACCTACAGGCTATTTTACTGTCATGTTGCCAACTAAGAGCTAATAAATCAATACTTAGTTTATTAGCGATCCTCACCGATATCATTGGTTTTCTTGGGAACTAGTCTGCGCTCCAGAGTGACCATCTTAATGGCATCCAAGCGTATCTCAATAACATTATTAATAAGGGCTAAGAGAGGAGCAAGAGGAAACGCTGCCACAAATATGGTGGTAAAGCTGAATTGAATCACTGTGGAGAGAGCAAAGAAAAATATTTTCCAAAACCGCCCTACTATTTCTATGGGTAAAGCATTCCACAGAGTGCATACCCATCTCGAGGAACTCATTGAACAGGCTGAAGGAGTCAACGTCACTGAGGCGGTAGTTGCTGAGCCAGTCTCGGAGCTTGCAGTTATCACACAGTTCAGCTCCATTTTTGGCCTCTGATTCATCTTTCAGGTAGCAGTGGGCACATTTTCTCTGTAGTCTCTGAGTTCTCTGCCTCTTCAACCACCTGCAGAACAAGCTGGTATAACCAACACCCAGTTTGAACAAGTCTGAACCCAGTGCTAGGAGAGTGGATTTTACATTGGACATTATGTAATCACAAATCTCATGTATACTTACGGGCCAGTGAATTCAAACACGTTGCTGATAGTTTGCTTGAGTATCATTATAATTGCCATTTGGATGAATAGGTCTGTGAGACATCCACTGGGGTGACACTGCACAACAGAGGGTAAAATGTTTAGAATAAAAATGCATTGGTAATTTTTAAAAAAGGTAATTTAACCATTCTAGGTGGGATATACACTCCCTGGCCACTTTATTAGGTACACCTGTACTATTGTATACAATTCAGTGCAACACTTCTGCCTTAACATCTGTGTTTATGAAGCTTAAAATGTTTTAGTTTTGCATACAATTGTACAGGTGTACCTAATAAAGTGGCCAGTGAGTGTATATCTGTGTTTACTCACCTCCTCTAGCCTCCATTTCCCAGCAATTCGAACATAACCACCAGGATGACCATTTATCCTGTTAGGGTAATAAGTCATTATGTGTTGTTGTACAATGATAACACAGTGTGATCACATCAAAATCAACCACCACTAATGCTGCATTACTGGCCAGCCCTAACTGAGGCCACAAGCTCTCACCTGCCAAGAAAAAAGGCTACGTAGAAGAGCGAGGAGAAGTAGGTGAAAAACTGGAAGGTGAACATCTTGACAGTGAAACTTTTCTCTGTGGCCGCAAATGATCTTGTTTCCTCTGGTGAAGACAGACCTCATGTCAGTTGTCATGCATTTCACTATTTGGCCAGTGGAGGGCACAACACACTTTAGGGACATCCAGAATGTCAGATTTAGCTGGAGGGATTTATTTTCTCTGTTTACTCTGTTTATATCTTGTATGTTCAGTATTTGTTGCACAAAGTGGAGAAGATGTCTGAGTGTTAATATCTGGTGTTATTGTTAAAACATCAGCTTTTATAGAATCCAGTCAACACACGGCCACAACCTTTCTCACACAGACTCCTGACATGTAATAGAAGGAAAAGCACAGGAGTAATTGATACCGATAATGATGGTGGCATTTTCATTTGATGAACTAGTTCCAGGGCTCCGATATCAGGCAAGCTGCCTCACTGTCTTGGCACATTTCAACTGGATGAAGCCATCATTAATGTTAATTAATTCTAGTTAATTCTTAACTAAACCTGTGCTTTTCCTGCTATTTGAAGTAAAAAAGATCTGCTGTGAAAAAGGTCCATTAAATCACTAATTTGTCTAAGAGCAAAAACCATACCAGGCACCACAACCAAATGCCACAGGCTCAAATATATTCTACATAACAGTGGCATAAGACTAAGCAATGCTACAGGGCCCCAGGTTTTCATGCTCTCCAGCCATTTCTAGTGCAACTTCTGAAATAGTTTATACCCTGTCATTCCTCACTGCCCCCGCAGTTGTCCTTAGTGTGTTCCCTTCCTCTGATTATCCCCTGACCTATGACACACCTTTACAACTGCTCCGCCCATTTCTACACTCTAAGCCTTGAACCCTGCTGTTTGCTCATCAACAAGGCCTTCATACTGTGCATGTTGCCAGCACTTTTTTGAGTGATTCAAATGATCTTGGCTTTCCCTTGCCATTGCTTTTAACAATACTTTATGAATAATTCTCCCAGGAAAGGCTGCAAAGTTGTACACATATGAAAAGTGTGCAAAAAGGGCTCAAACACTCAGCAATTTAAGAGTAAGCCAGTCCAGGGCCCTGGCGAGCTTATCAGAATGTGTCAAACTAGAGGAGTGAATAGAGGACAGCTTTCAGTCCCTCTTGGCTTCATCATTCATGCTGCCAAGTGTTCCAGACACTACCTGCTTGCTTGAATCTGCTGCCAGTTATCTGTCAGTTATCTGTGTGTCTGACCTACATCTTGTCTGATCGCCCGCCTTGCTGCTGCAGCTCTCCTGGATTTGTTTGCCTGTTCTCACTGCCCACCTGTTGACATCTGTTACTGACTATTCAAGTAGCTGCCGATTTAACCTGAACACGCGAATTTATCACTCTGAATGTTGCACCATGTAAGAAGTGATAATAACCAGAATACATAAACAAACCTATTTCACAGAGCTTCATGGCTACAATCTTTGATATCTGCAAAGACAAAGACATAGACATAGTCAGGGTCAAAGAGAACATTACTAAAGTTACACAGAGATGCACATTTAGACCTCTGTACCCGTGTCATGACAGTGATGATAATATAATGAAGAAAAGCCCCAAGCATCATTGCTCCAATGTTGGAGTAGGTGCTCAGGAACTCCCATGATCCCTTAGCCAAGAGCTCTGCTGCGATCACCCTGAACACCACCAAGGCATGTGTCAGGCCAATGATTAACAGTATCTGGGGAAAAACAATTGCTTGTATTACTATACTTGTGATGGCTTCTGTTAACTACTGTACATCTTTTGGTAGAACTTAACTAGATGCTTAAACCTGAACCCACTTTCCATCTAATTCTGATATGAACCTTAGTCAAATAAGGGTTCTGACAGTATACAAGCCCTTTAAATATGTGAAGAGGCAACACAACAACATCACTCACCATAACTAGGACACAGATCAGAACCACCGTACTGCGCAGATAGGAATGCTTGTATTTCTTGGGTTCACAATTGACATTGTTCACAATTTGCAGGATCAGTTCCTCCTACAATTGAGTAAAAAAAATAAGAAGTAAAAATCCGACATGAATTTCAAAATGAGCAGTGACCTGCTTTTACTGAAATTGTATATAACATGTTAAACCGAACATACCTCCTCCTCACACCAGTCAGACACTTTCCATTCACACACATAGGAAGCTCGATGTCTCTTCCAGAACGCCAGAAACAGTGTTGCTGTGAAAGACAGGGATTTAAATGAGTATTACTGATATCTGAATCACAGTGACACAGTTTCAAACCTCAGGTC